CAAGAGTGAAAGGAGAAGGAGTTTGTAATGTAACAGTTGACCTAGTTAACAGGCCATCACTGTTGACTTGGTGACCTTAGCAAAATAAGATTGGTCCTACAGAAGACAGAAACCAAAATGGTGGAGAAAAACTAGAAAAACTTGGCATAAGTATATTTGTAAGTAATCATTCCTTGCTGGGGTTTTTTTGCAGTTAGTTCCCAAACCAGCAAGCACTTAAGCATGTGTGTCAGTAAGCACATAAATAGGCTCACTAAAGTCAACTGGGGCTTGATCCTGGATGGTGCTTAGTACTATGATCACAATTCAGCAAGATGTTTAAGCATGTTCTTAGTGTCACAGACTTAATGAGAGTAATCCCATGCTTAAAGTTAAGCAGTTATTCAACAGTTTTCTTGGCTTGGCACCAGACTACTCTGGCAGCTGGCACAACTGCGCTCTTGGATCACTCACGTGCTTACTGTTCAGCATGTGCTTAAATGCTTCACTGGAACGGTACCATGTTGAGAATGCAGATATTGAATGGAGATCTTTGTGGGACAAGAAGCTCATTGCTAAAAACAGATAGAGCAGAGGCCACCTTTGCTGTTTCAATGTTCTTTCTCATCTCACAAGTTATTTGCTCATTCCTCCCTTTTCTTGTATGAGGAGATTTATTTTAAAAAGAAATAGCGACCATACCGCTGACATGAAGATCTGTACATAACTTCTTCAGAAAGAATATAAACAGTTCTAGACTAATGTACTGCTTTTTTTATTTTTCCTTTAAACTTAATTTTGTGACCATGCAACCAGAAAAAAGGCTCTTCTGGGTGAAAAAAAGCTGAAAGAAATCTATAGAAAAAGGGAGAAAATTCTGAATCTTGAACAAAAATGAAAAAAATCCAAAAGAGCAGTTTTACTATAAACATTTTCATAATACTTTCATACAGTAAGTAAATGGAGTTTCTATTCATTACCGGCTGATAAATCCTATCTCTGGGCTCTATAAATAAAGTTTCATCAGTAGAGCTGCCAGTAAGGTCTGGTTCTTATGCCTTTAGATTACATTCAACAAAACACGGTAGAAATTAAGGGTAGGAATGTTCAGTAAGACACAAACATTTCTTCAAAAGAGAAGAAAAACTTGCAATACATGTAGATCTGCCATATTACAGTACCACTAATCACAACTTGTTACCTGATGCCTTCCTTTCTGAAAGTGACCTTTCCCCTAACCTGTGACATTTATATCTACACTGCATCTGGAAGCAAGCCTCCCACCTTGGGTCCGCAGACTTGTGCCAATGGGGTTCAATCTAGAGGGCTAAAAACAGCTGTGTTGATGTTGCTTTGATGTTGTGGCTTGGGCTGGAGCTCAGGTTCTCAACCCTGGGAGTAATGCAGGGGGCTGTGGTGTGGCAGGAGGCACTTGAGAGCCTGAGTTCCAGCCCAAGCCACACATCAAAGCAACGTTGACGCAACTGTTTTTAGCCCACTTGCATGAGTCTGTGAATTTAGGATGGGAATCTCACTCCAGATGCAATTTAAACATAGTCTGCTGCACCTCTTGTACTCCAAATACTGAAAGGAGTTCAAACTTACCCATGGGGCTACGGAGCTTGTTTGTGCTCATTCCACCCACAAGCCAGATAAGTATTTGCAATATTATATTGAAATACTGAATACTTACTAGTGTTTTTAAAGCATCTGTACAGCAATTTCTGTAATTCAACAGTGATAAGAATATAAGAATGACCTTACTGTATTAGACCAATGGTCCATCTAGCCCAGTGGCCTATCTTCCCAGAGTGCTGGATGCCAGATGCTTCAGAAGGAATGTACAGGATAGAACAATAATTGGCTGAGCCATCCCCTGTCATCCAGTCCCAGCTTCTGGGATCCAAAAAAGAGCATCATAGAGATACCAAAGACCTGACTTTGGATGGAGCAGAAGGAAGAGATATGATCCCAGAGAGGAAATCATTAGGTAACAATTTTTCCATTAAGGACCCTGACCTCTACCTCAGTCAGAGACACTTGAGATGCAATGAAAAATAGGGAAATATTAAGGAGAAGGGAGAGAAGTAGACAGATCCTCCCTTTCCTAAAAATAGTGGCATTATCTAATTTGGGATCACACATAAAGCTTCATCCTGCAGAAGGATGCTGTTCCAGGGAACTGGAATTCAAGCCTGTAGCATTTTAAGGTGTTATGACATGACCAGGCATCTGCTTTACAGATTTCTTTCCAAAAAGCTGCTGTGAAATGTACTGAATGAACTGATTCCTTCTGGGACTGGTTTATTTGCAGCTGCACGTGCCTCTGAGAATGACCATTGTGTCATCCATTTTTATCTTTTGAATTATTCTTCCTAGCAGCAGAAGAGGAGGAAGACTATAAAAGCAGATTCAGACATCTGCGTGCCAGCATCGGCTCCCAGTGACATATTGCTTGCTTCCCTGATGAAGAATATTTTTTATTTCAGTTTCAAATGGCTGTGAACAGTTTCATCTGAGGAAAGCCTACCTCCAATCAGCTGGAATACTTCTCGGTTCAGGGACCACTTTGAGTTGAGTGTCTGCCAATGACTTTACCAGTTCAATTGTGTGTTCTGTGTCCCTTTTATGTGGGCCATCTGGATGCAGAGTAGGTGGCACACTTCCCAGGAAAGGATGTGTATCATCACTACAGTGTTGAGACTTGAGGATTTTGTTCCCGCTTGCAGATTTACATATGCCACATCATGTTGTCTGATTGAACCAGGACATGCTCCCCACTCAAATCCTGAAGGGCCAGAGTGGCTGCTGTGATCATTAGAGTTAACAATTCTCTGAAGCCTCACTGACTTTGCCAATGTTCCCTTCTGTTGCTATGCCCCAAGTGAGCTCCCAATCCTGAAAGTATTGGTGTCCATAGTAGGATTCTCGAGTTTGGATTACAAAGACAGGATCCTACCTTCATCTGGGTATCCTGTTTTCACGCACTGAGAGGCCAGATAACTGAATGGTATCTTTACCCATCTTTGTATCCCTTGTTGGAAATAGTTCCAGGGCTGTGAAAAGAAGCTCTTGTATGTGTGCAGGGAATAATCTCTATACATGAAAGCAGAAGATCCAGGACTGCAAGTAAAGATGAATGCATGACACTTGGTTGACTGTGGAGATCAGTGTCATCAGGAAGACACTAGGCTTATTTGAATTTATCCTACTCCCTAGGGGGCAACACTTACAGAAGAGATTCCTGATCCCCTCTTAAAGTTTATGACAAACCTTCATTGCTGAAGCAATTAATGTTCCTCTGAATTACTTCTCATGAGGAGGTCCTTGAGAATAATGCTTTGATAAGTATGATGTCTAAGAATAGGCCTGGACGAGCTCCAATATTTTTCAACCTATTATCTCTACCAATACTGTTGTGATCACCTTGGGATTGGACAGCAGATCAAAAGTTAACCTATTGCATTGGTAGTGGTTATTTTAGTAGGCAAACAAGTGAAACTGTCAATGACAAGGCCTGTTTGGAACAGGCAGATAAGTTTCTGCCAAATCCACTCATATGAGAAAGCCTCCAGGAAAGATGCAGTGCCTGTGGAAGAGAATATTTTGTTTCTATGACCCTGTAGTATTCCAGGGCTTGCCAGCTAAGCCTCTTTCCTTTGTCAGGCACTTCCTAATTCTTTCTACTTGCATCTTCAAAGGAGAAAAGAAGGGGTTTGGATTGGGGATGTTTGCACTGACTTGAATCTGCTCATCCTCTTCCCTCTGCCTGGCACTCAATAGAGTCTACCGCCTCCTTACTTTTAAATATGTCTGTGTATAGAATCTTGTCTGTTCTCTCTGGCTCAGGGTTATGATCTGGGGAGAAGAGTTCTGCTTCTTTGGGAGGGGAACTGGAGCTTATGGTAGATACTGGAGATCTGGAACACTTTGGAACTTTTTGGTGGCATTTGGTGGTTTATTCCTCACCGGGCCACCTTTCTTTTCTTATTGGGGGATCTTTTTGGTCCTAGCTTGCGTGCGAGGGTCTTGAGCCCCTGTGCTATTAACTGGCTAACATGTAAATGGAGAGGAAGCACAGGGGCACTCCTACAGAAAGAGCCCAGATCTTCCTCTTGGGAAGAAGAGGAGTCTGAAAGGATGGCAGATTCCATACCCAATTATTACCCACTTATGAATGTGGAATGGGAACCAAGAACTTTTTTTTTCTTTTGAAGGTGGATTGAACCAGGAGAAAGGGTTGAGGGATATTTTGATTTATCCCTGAAAAATAGGAAAGGATGGGTCCAATCGGTCATGTCCCAAGTTCTGAAGATGACTGATCTGCCCTTGTGGAGGTGCATGCAGAGAAGGCTTGGATGGAATGTGAGGATGTGGAAGGTCCAACAAACCATCCAGACTCTGAGCCTCTTCCCCTTACAGAGTGAGAGTTTTCAGGCTGGGAGCAGTCCCCTTTACCTCGAATCATTTGGTTGCGGATGAGGTGGGGGACAAATAATGAAAATAACCTTTGTTTTTAAAAGTTAGGATTGCAGAGGATAAGACAGCAGCACTGAACTGCCACAACTGTTTACACTACTGGAGGTACAAATTTTGGAGCATGAGCAGAAGAGGTACAGCTAAGCCATATGGACAATGCTGAAGTGCCTCTGGTACTTAAAGGAAAAATAGTGCAGCCAAATTATCTAGTACTGGTAGAGGCATTAGGATCTAGAAACTATATTGCACCCATTAAAGATGGTGGATCAGTCCTGCCCTCACTTATACCCTGTGAGGCACCACTGAAATTAGTAAACTTGCAGGAATGGAACCGAGGGGAGAATCTGACCCATCATGTATAAAGTACCAAGTAATTGCCTCTGTGTACAGTATCCTACATCCTCATCTACTATGGATCCACAGTCTAAAATCATTATGTTTCATTTAAGCTCAAATTAATACACACAGAAAAGACTCTCTCATTGCACATCCAGCATAGACTAATACATATTTTTTAGACTAATACAAAATAGTCAACTTACATCAGAATTAAATCTCAGCTGGCAAATGTTGCATGATATGATTTGCTTTCTTCGATGAGGAAGAGGAACCCCAAATGTATGATTTATTACAGCTTTCTGAATTGGGTCCATCTGTAATGAGAGAAAGAGAAAAATAAAAGCTTTTCTGTTCCATTGGAAGGTTGCCTATGCCACTTATGGTATTAAAGAGAATCTGTCCAGTGCCAATCCATAGCAAACATTATTCATTTGGTGACAGTACATTTCTCCCTTTCTTTTTCTATTATTATTGCTGCTTTTTACTGAAAATAAAAAGGGGGAAAGAAAAAATTTAATTAGTAACCTTGAAAAGAGTTTTTTGGCTACTATTCATTCCTATCTCACTTCAGTGAAGAAAGCTGAATCAGTTAACACTGAACATGTTTACCTACCAACATGCTAATTTCTATTTTTACTTTAGGAAAGCAGCAGAGTAAAAATAATACAATTGTAAAAAAAAAAAAATAAGAACCTGGGGAAAAGAAAAAAAGAAAGGGAGTAAGAAGTGAAATGTGAATAAGGATGTATAAACAACTCTATATACAGTGTGGTGCTTAGCTGGCTTTGCATCATGGCAGGATTCCCAAATATTATGAAAATCTTCAACATTGTCCCAGGTTCCAGAAATGAGTCTTTTATATGAGGCAATTTCTGTCAGAGTCAGGGTAAATTCCAAATCATCCTTCAAGTGTCTGAAGATTATTTTTCTGCCATTTAAATAAACCTTGTTTCAACCATTTTATCCCTCCTTTAGAGAACATTTCTCTAGATCAAATCCTGCTCCCCAGCACAAAGTCTGAGTAAATGGGCTTTACACAAAGAATTTCAACAGGGGTCAGAGGGGAATGATACCCTACCTGTCCCCTCCAGGCTGTGGAGTGCAGTGTAGCATTTAATACATGGCTGGCTGAGCAGCTGCCAAACTTACACTCCTCCCGTGCCAGCCAATTCTTATAATCATGACCCCACTAGCTGTACTCTAGTTTCTCTCCTTCCCCCAACTGTCTCTCCAAAAGCCCTCACAATCCTCCTTACACACTCGCCATGGAAGCATGGGGTCTAATGCAGTCATCCTATCAGGGAACCTCTCTGGTCACTGCTGCTCTTTGAGCCCTCCCAAAGAAGGAATCAGCACTGTGGAGGGTGCTTTGCGAGAAAGGCAAAATAGTCTTTATTATCTTTCTTGGACAATCTTCATGAGGCCAGAGTGGGATCATGTGTACCTGTAACCCACACACCTCCTGGGTGTGGTGCTCTGTCCCATCTAGTGGCACCGAGACCACTGAGAGATTAATGAGTCTGCTCTACAGCCTTAGCTAAGGGCCATATGGCTTTTAGCTCATGCAGTAGAGACTCATGCATTTAGCTCCAGAGGTTCCAGGTTCGATCCCGCCCACTAATGACTGGGTCCGTCAGTGTTACAGGTTCATACCCACCCATTGTGGGCTGCTTATCAGGGCTGGATTTCTAATTAGGCACAGTAGGTACATGCCTAGGGGCGCTCACATTCTAGGGGCATGTAACAGTTAAAAGTGGGTTAAAAGTTTCATTTTTTATGGAAAACACGAAGGTCTGCTGTAGGCGGGGTGGGGGACTGAAGATGCTGTGCCTAGGAGCACATAAAGTGTAAATCTGGTCTGCTGCCTACAGTCCGTCTTCTCCCTCAATGCGTAAACCAAACAACCCTCTGCACAATCCAGGAAAAGGGCAGAGGCTGCTAATGTAAAGGAAGGTGAGTGCCTCTTTCCCATGCAAGTGGTGAGAACTTTGAGCAAAGGAATCTCTCTGCATGCTGATCTGGGGAACATAGTTGGATCATGATTTTGGTGCCATGGTTAGATCCAATAGGTAGCCTATTTTATGGTTCTATTTCAGCAATGGCCAAACTTTCATGAAAATCATCATTCCGGCGGAAAGGATGCAGAAAACCTTGCAAGATTGGCTGGTCCTGTAAGAAATCTATCATTTAAATTGCAGCAAGGGAGATTTAGGTTAGACATTAAGAAAAACTGTAAGGGTAGTAGAAAGCACTGCAACAAATTACCTAGGGAGATTGTGGAATCTCCATCATTGGAGGTTTTTAAGAACAGGTTAGACAAACACCTGTCAGGGATGATCTAGAGACTATTCAATCCTGCCTCAGTGCAGGGGACAGGACTAGATGACGTACTGAACTCCCTTCCAGTCGTACATTTCTCTGATTCTATGATTTAGGCCTAAAATCTCACAAAAACTGTTCATGAGATTTCATCACCAATGCTGAAATAAACTTCCACAAACCTCCAGGTTAAAGTTGTCATGACTCTTCCTTTTTGACAAGAACCATTTGATAATTATATTTTTTAAAAATTTTAAATAGCTGTATACTAATTCATGAGCCACTCATTTAAGCAGCAGGTAATCTTTATCTTTGAGACATGCTGTCACAGGGCTGTACAAAGTCATCATCTGAGTCATCCAACCCCTAACCATGATGCATCCAATACTCAGATTGTAATTTTTATATTTATCTTAAAAAAATGAATTTTGTTCTGAACTAATGCCCTATGGTTCACTTACTTCTCAGAAGGCAACAAAGGAGTGTTGCCGGCACAGAGTGCCCGAGGACAGCAACAGCGGGGTCTGATGCCCAGTGTGCTTCGCGCCAATAAACACACCAGGATGGAGAAGCAATCAAAGTTTATTTGGGATCCCAAAGTGGTGCTAGGAGACAGGCACGTCTCAGATCAAGCACACTGAGACAAACGGTTTTCCCTTTTTATTCTTTTGCAGTTAGGCTTCACACACCCCCTTCACCCTCCCTTTCTCCTATAATAGTTTACTTTAAGCAAGTAGCAAGCAATTACATTTAAGCAGTTAAGTCATTCTTGGCAGCTATAAGCCTAGCTTGTTAGTAACTTCTTTAAACCGTTATCTTGTCCTGTTTCCCTTTGAAATGTTATTTTCCCTTCAGCCAGAAACATGCAGGCCTCATTATTACCACTTGGTGCCGGTATGAGCAGGGGGTTGCACACAGATAACTGGTTGCTTACATATTCCAATTGCACCTGGCTTGTGAGGTCGATTAGAGTTTAAACATGGGAGAAGTTTGGTTCTTTTGGGCCTAGTGCAGGAAGGCTTCATTGACACTAGTGGCCTTCCACCCTCCCGAGTTACCTAGGGTTATGTCTAGTGACACCAGCACCAACATGAGGTATTTGATAAATGCAGGATTGGTGCTTTGTCTGTAGGTAATTAATGATTCAGGGGAATTGTAATAGTAGGGAGATGGAGCTTTTCATCTCTTCTAGTATGAATCTGGACCAGCTCAGCATTGAAGCATTGTATCACGTGATGGCTATTCAATAGCTCATGTTAAATAGGTTGTGATCTTAGGCCAGTCCCTGGTGGAAAAGTGTTCAGATCATAAAAACAACAACACAAGGTGGTAAAGCTCCATGGGTATAAACCTACACTGGCCAAGTGAGAATTAATGAACTGCTCTGGACTCAAGCAACCCTACCTTTCCACAACTGCCAGGCATGTCGGGGGGAGAGGGGAAGATGTAAAGGGAGAAGCCCAGCTCAGCTGGTAGCAGACTTTGAAGAACAGAGAGCAGATCTTCAGCCCTCAGCTCCTACAGAGGGCCTGGCTGAAGGCAAGAACTGTTCAGGAGATCACTGCCTATTGAGGTCCACTTTGAGAAAACGCAGGCCCCCTTAGCAACAAAGACACTAGAGACACGTGCCTGTGGGCACTGAACTGTGCCATGGCCTACTGGAGGTCTGTGAAAGAAGAGAATCCTTCCATGGAAAGGTAGACTCCCATGGACTCAGTTGGAGGGCTGAGTATCCTATAACCAGACCCATGCTGCTGGCAGCCTGGAGATCAAAGGCTGGGGGAGTTCAGAAACCCGTCATGTGCCCTGGAGGACCAACCCTATGACAGTTCTGCAAACAGCTTGTGGGGAAACTATCAGCTTTTGCTAGCCCTGTTAGATTTTGCTGAACAAAACAGAAACATCACATGTGTTTGTACCATGCCCAGCACAATGGAGCTCTGAGCCCAACTGGGGCCTCTGTTTTCCACTGTAATACAAATAATGTACAACAACAAGGATTAGTTTGATTATACCAAGGACTGTAATGACAACATGCTGTGGCACACTGTGATGATGTCACACTTTGAGCTAATGTGTGTGCTGCAATCTTTTCACGCTGTAACATCATGTTTGAAAAGTCCATGCTCCAGAATGTATTATAGAACACAGAGCAGGAGAGGGGCAGCTATATGGGGAAAGCAAAGAGCCTGGCAATTCAGCAGTCCATTCCTGGGTGGTACAGAGAGGAAAAAAGAAGACTGATCTGTTTGTGCCACCTGACTTCCATCACTAGAGCACAGGGTCTGCTTTGGCTGATTTTACCACATTTCATTGGTGTTGAGGCTTTGGGAACTGTGGCGTAGATATGTCTATACAACCTGGGAATCACACCTCCCAGCTCAAATGCAGACATACCCTTAGCCCCAAGCTAGAAATGGGAACCTCTTCACACTCACCCTATCACCTCAGGTCAGATTACAAGAACTGAACAGATACACTCTTTTCTCTCTTCCAATATACCTTTTCCCTGAAAGGCTGAGGTACTTTTATCGCAGTACCTTAATACTCAAAGTATACAAACAAGAAAAATGTGCAGTGTTTGAATACTTCCTGAGAATTAGAAACATATTTTTCTTCCAGCTGGTCCTCACCTCTAAAAGATAGTCTTTTATGTCTCTTATCCCATCACATCCTTGACTCTGCCAGTGAAATCAGCCTTGAGTGCCTGTCTGTTTTCCCACAAATATCTTCATGCTTTCTTTCATGTTGCCTCTAATGTGTGGATCGCCCTTCCTGACCTAATCTTTAATTCAGATCCCTCCTCAAGACTCACTTCTGTTGAGACACCTTCAGGAAATCAACCAGCTAACAATTGCTAGGCTAAACAGCATTTGGGGGATAACTTATCTATTAAAAAACGTTGATGATTTATGTGATCACTCCATTCCATGTCTATCCTATCTTTTTTAATGTTCTGATTAAAATTAAATTGTGATCTCTCCTCAGTAATGAT